CTACCAGTGAAGAAACTGAGGCACAGAGAAGATAAGCAACTTGTACAAGGCCATACAGCTAATAAGTGGTGCAACAGGGATATGAACCCACGCAATCCAGCTCCTCAATTCACAATCTTAAGTACTGTGATGCACCATTTTTTTATAATTCCATAGGTGAAAAATGTGTACACATATAGATAAATTAGAAGAGGTCATGAAAAAAATAACAGATCTAGGAAGTACAAACATGGATAAGCTTTTAATTTACATGTCATTCTGTTATGATACTGCCTTTTAAATAATTAGAAGTAAATATATATATATATGAGAAAAGGAAATACTAGAAGACATGAAGTAGAGAAAAATGACACATTTTCTCAAGCTTTATCCTCAATATTGATGTCACTGTGACAGTGTTTCACTTCATAAATTTACCTTTTGTAATATGGTATCTAATGGAAATATTCTCAAATATAGCCTCCTTCAAATGCTGCTTTAGATACACATAATTTTCAAAATTAGTGTTCACATTTGAAATAGTCATCATGCTGTTTGGTTTTGGGGATTAGAACAGCCTGCTTGAAAAGATTTTTAAACCACTGCAAATCAACCTGGTAACAGTCCCTGAGATAACTGGGTACCTGCGTTAAACCATACTTTTATTCGGCTCTCCAAAGAAAACGTGCGCTGCAGGGCTCACAGTTTTGTCATTTACAAATTTTCGACATCAAATTTTATAGTCTGCTGTGAACTGCATGTTTTTGAATGTTATAGCCTGTGTATTAACTTGTAGTTTATTCAGGATTTCTAGAGAAATTATGCAATTACTACAAAGCTTAATGAATCAACACCAAGACCAAGTTCAAATGCAAGTCTGTGTTTATTAGTATAGAAAATCTATACAAAATGTACTGTTCAGTTTTTGTAAACATGCTTTCTTGTAACACAGTAAAAACCAACCTTCCTAATAAATGTCATGCCTATTATTAATGACTACTACAATAACTGAGAAATAACATGACCTTAAGAACTCAAGTAAATAAATATTATTTCACCCATCTATCCCTAACATAACTCCTAACTGATGGGCTCAAAGTATATTTCCATCAGATCCTGACAGAGAAACTCCCGAATCAATCTCTCTGTGGTCTAGGGCCCACCCCGCCACATTCTCCAGGAAGCTAGAAACATTCTAGGCTCAAACCATATGTCTCTCCCCAAACACTGGAATATAAGCTCTATGAGGATAGGGATCTCTAATGATTTTATATACTACTGCATTCCTACCACCCAGAACTATAGCTAGCACATAGTAGGCACTCGTACTTACTTGCTGAATCTAAGAAAGAATAATGTGGCAGCTCTGAAATTTGAAGCCAGGCTTTCTGAGTTATGATGTCTACTATTCTTTTTTTACACTAGACTTTAACAAAGAACATCCTGCTATCTGGTTGACTAATCTAAAAGAAATTTTCCTGCCAATAAATGAGCTTAAGAGAAGGAAAGGAGCATTTAATAGGTATAATCACAAGATCATGAAACCACCTACAGCTAGGCAGAGTAATCAATTTAGACAAATAACAGCAGGGATTAAAAAAAAAATGATATTGCATGAAAACTCATTCAAAGGTGGGTGATTAACTGTAACTATTTGCCAAAAGAGAAATGAAACGTTTTACTGTACAGTAAAATGCTTCAAGATACTGGAAAAACTAAAAAGATCTTGATTCTATACTGGTTACCTACAAATACATATATTTTAGACATAAAATATAAACTTCACTTAATCATGCTAGGAAAAAAGTTTTGGTTAAAAAAGACATTTTTATCTAAGACATCTATGGTTTGAATCTGTTCTTTCTTCTCTCCTAATGTGAAAAAAATTAGACAGCTTTGCGCTCCAGGATGGGAGAAAGTCACTGCTACCAAAGCCAGTTCTGGATCTAGAGGCTGATAGGTTTTACTTGTATTTTCTTTCCATGCACCACCACACAAATAACATTAATACAACTAGATTGTTTCAGGAAGCAGCAAGCAGATGATGAAAAAGGTCCAAGGGTCAAATCACCAATTACTATGTGTCCTCACCACATTACTATCTCTGAAAACAAATTAAATACACCATTTCTAAAGGCTGATACTGATGGAGAATAACATGTTAAGATAGTAATAATATCCTTCTTACTTATTAAATATCTTCTTAAATGCTATGAGCATCTGCAAAAATTGGACAGTATATCTTTTGAACTCAGGTGTGCATTAAGTAGCTTGCTCATCTACTGATCCCCACCTAAAGGAAGCTTTTTATTTCAGTCAGTGTGTCAACAGGACTGACATATCCTCCCTGTATTGTGGGGTGACAAAAACAAATCCTAGCAGGAGGTGAAAGCACAGAACGCAGTTACAGCTGTCCTTGCTTCCACCTCTATTAACGAGTTCCATCACAGAAATTCTGTGAGAGGAATTCTGTGAAGGAATAACAGTTTTCATGCAGTCTGTAAATCAAAAGTGCAATACAATTTGAAACATCCTCCTAAAAACAGTTTCCCAAGTTATGGAATTTAAACATCTTCATATTTTTTCACACTTCAGAATTATTTTTTCTTTGTACAAATTAATATAATTTATTTCCTTATTTCATTGTAAATCATTATATTTCAAAAGGTTTCTGATTTTATAGCAATTCTAACAATTCTATTCAGAAATAGGTCTCTTAACACCAATTATAGATGATTTTGGTTTCCTATTTCCAATATTTTTTCAAAATTTTCAGTTCTGTGGACTATTTTTTATATAAACAGTTAATATATGTCATATAGCTGCTACAGAAAAAATGCTCTATAAAATGATGTTGACAAAGAATAACCTTAGAGTTTGATAATAATAATAATAATAATAATAATTGTTTTAGATAAAATTAAATCATAACTCTAAAACTTTGCTGATTCTATCTTTGGAAATTCTTTACAATACACTAATTTTAAATTAAAATAAAAAGTCCTTGTTGGCATTAATGTGTGATGTATATTTCCTAAAAATCTGAAAATACTTCTATCTAATAATCAAGAATAGTTAAGCAAATTATGGTATATCCTTCAATATACCATATTAATAGAATATTAATAAAAATTTTAAAATAATTTAAAAACCTCATGGAAAAATAAGAAGATAAAATAGTTTGGAGATTATAATTAAGTAAAATAATATGAAAAGGTTAAAAGTATGACAGGAATAAGTAAGGTTATAATTATTGTGTTAGGGCAATGGAACTGAATTTTCTTTCTACTCACTTTAAAACATGTGTTCTTGAGTTAGCTTCAGTTATATAGGAACAAAACAAAATAAATTTAAAGAATTTTAAAGGTAATAAAACGAGACTAGGTGTCAGAACAAAAGCGGTGCTGAATTAAATAGGGAAAAATGTCTATCCCTGAAAATCATCTTCCACATTAACAGCACTGAGTGAGTGTCCTCCCTTACACTACCTTGAGAATCCTCTTGCATCCTAACATGTACTAAGCTCTTCACTACACACCATGGAGTTCGGGAAAATGTTAATATAATGAGCACAGAGAAGAGCCTTTTGCCATTCTAAAGAAATTCTTCTATTCTAGTAACTTAATTCCTTGAGATAAAATCTAAGATGAATCGCAAGCTTTTATCACATTCCATCTCTAAAACAGAATTCTAACTAGTTTCTTATTTTCCTGAAACAGCAGGATGTTTATGGAGAAAGTTAGTCTGACATGTAAAGATAACTTAGGAGTCCATATTCATTTCATTCCTGAAACCAAGAGAAATCAAAATGTAAACAGACAAATGGTGAAAATAAACTAAAGTTCCCAAACATTCTGGTTTTGTTTGTTTAACACAAGAATGTTTGTTCAAAGATTATTAAATTTGCTAGTGGGGTAAGGACTTCACAGCAGAAAATAAGTTCATTACATCGATAATACAGTATAAGAACCTGTCAATAATACCTCAAATAAGGAAAATTCCAATAAATCTCAATCCAGGTTCCAATTATTCATATAATTTTTTCTATGAATATATATTTTAATATTTTTTAAAAACCAATAAAACCTTTTTTAAAGATCATTACTTAGCACACTGAGTACAGCTTCAATAAAATGTTAGAAAAGATGAAGCACCACCATGTGATCAACTAATATTGACTGAATGCCAACTACCTTTGGGTACTGTGTGAATAGTGATGGCCACAAGGAATAAAAGAGATAGTAAACAGTAATCTCCTGATTTCACAGAGCTAGCTGCCCAACAGGGAAAAAAGCATGTCAAAACCAAAAATACAAGGAAAGATTCTTTCATTCAGTTAGTCACCCAACACTTAGAGAGTGCTAGTGTACATCAGGCATTGGGAGAAAGGCCTGAGAAACACAGTGAGGGCTTAAAAAAAAGGACTGAAAATCTGTCATTGTGAAGCTAATAATTTAAATAGAGAAGAAGGCTCTATTCAAAAAGAAATTTAAGTTAACCCCCAAATCACAACTCTGTGAAATGCTAAAAGAGCAAATGACAGTAAGCAAAGAGAACCCAGAGACAGGTTGATTGAGAACTGCACAAAGTGGTCAGACAAGGCTTTATAGAACGGATAATGTAGCCAAGACTTGGGGGATGAGTATAAGGGAAGTGGGACATTCCAGAGCAGGCATCTATGTATTGGAGGATGACAAGTAGTTCAGTGGGGTGGGAAAATTATAATTACATGGCAAGAAATGGTACTAAACAGGCAGACAAAGACCAGGTTATTATTAAGCAACTTAAACTCCATACCACAATTTTTTTTTTTTTTTAATGAGAGAACCTAGAACATGCTTTTGTGCTAAAGTGAAAAGGTTCCACAGACATGACAAAGTTTCAGTGACAATAAGTAAGTTAAGGACAGCCATTATTGTAACACAGCTTATAAATAACATAGAAGTAGAAAATAAAATGTGGAGTTATTACATATTTTAATAATATAAGATTTTCTTTTTTCCCATCAGGTACAAGCTTACCCCTATGACGCTCAGTCCTTTAAGGTAGTCCTGACGAGGCTGGGCTTGAGGAACACATCCAGCTAGCACTATTTTCTTGTTCTCCTCTTGAGCTTTTCTAAAAGATTGAAGAGAAAACAGTGTTAATTCTTTTGCTCACAAGTGTACCCATGGAAACTAATGTTAGTGCATATATGTTCTCTAAATAATAGCAAGCCCATCTAGCATGAAACTAGATTTTCTCACAGCTGCTTAAAGAAAACATATTAAAGTAAAACTTCTGAATTATGTGACTATTTATCATACCATAGATGATATGGCATGGGAAGTATGCAAAGAATGATTAAATAAATGAATGAATAGGCAGAACATAAATGCTATTTAATAGCACCTATGTTTCATTTCAATAACTTCTTAGAGTACTTTGGTACAGTTTTTCCACTTGGAATCTTGAAAAAACTTGTTAACAAAATCAAAGAAATCTGACTTTTCTAGATTCCTTAACATATCCAAGAGAACTACTGCCTACCTCCACCCCCTGGTTTTATTTTTTTATCAGTACCAAGCGTATCGTTGTATACAAATAGTTTTCTTGTAATAAATGTGAAATACCTCATCAAATTAAAAAGTCCTTTTGTTTATGTTAACAATCTATCCAAGGAAGTAACATCTGGCTTCCTCAAGAACTGCACAGAATCACTGCCAAACATCTAAGAGAGTCCGTGAGGTCACCAATAATTAAACCCAAATAAAATGGCTGCTTCCTACAATGTGATTCAATTATTTGATTATTAAGCACAGCTAAGGCATGACGTTGAGTGTTACCCTTGGCAAAAGAATATGGAAACCTGAATGCATGGGGAAGAGGCACAAAGAAATTAAGAAGGGGGAAAAGGAGAGGAAGAAGGGGAAGAGAAAGAAGAAGAAGAAAAAGAGAAGGAAGAGGAAAGGGAGGAGGAGGGGAGGAGAAGAGGGAGGAAAAGGGAGAAGGGGAAGAAGAGGAGGAAGAAGAGGGACAGATAGTAAATACTTTAGGCTTTGCTGGCCACAGGTCTCTGTTGCAACTCTGCCACCTCAGATCAAAGGCAGTCATACATAACAAATGGGTATCCCTGAGTTCCAATAAAACTTCATTTACAAAAATAAGCAGGTCAGTTTGGCCCGAAGGCCAGAGTTTGCTGATCTCTTGCTTAAGAAAGCAGACAGTAAGCGACTAGCTATAGGGATAAGGTGACTGAGAATTGAAACAAAAGAAATTTACATAGGACGCACTAAACCTGAGGATCCACTAATACCCATCCAGTCTCTGGAAATGCAAGTCAGCTGGCTAGGAGTTAAGTCTGAGGTAGATTTCAGAAATGTGTTTCAAAGTGATAGCTGATAATAGAGGATGCAGTTGACTCTAAGGGTATGAAGAGAATCTCACTGAGTACAGAACTTTAAGTTTATTGAGAGATGTAGAAACATTTCCATAGGATGAAAATATTACTGTGGGGAAAACAAAAAAGGTGTAACATCACCACCAATAATACTGTAACAATAATAATCTTGGTTAGCATTTATATAGCACTTCACCAAGGTAACCATTAGGTAGTTAAGTAACACATTTGAAAATAGTATAGCCAATATGTAACAACCAAGGGGGAAATGTCCTGGTGACAGTATAAACATTAGAACAGGTTATGAAAAAGTCCAAGGATGATTTTAAGGCAGTAAGCAGAATAGCAGAAAATTAAGAGGAAAAGTTTAAAACACAGAATCTTGATTAAGTGATTTGTTTAAAATATTTCATCCTTTTATTGAATTTGGCTTTAAAATGAGAGGGTAGACCAGAACTATAATCCAAGCCAAAAATTATACCCCGCTTACGGAATATGTGACAAAATAAAATAGAAAACGTTTTAAGGCAATTTCTCAAAAGAATATTCTTGCTCTAAACATTCCTTTCTTTCATCCTACCCTTTCTGTTTAGTGAGCTTTGTTCAAGTTAATAAAAGCCTTAGAAAAATATCATTAGAAACATACCCACCACAGATATATTTTTAAAAGCTTTATCTTTTAAAATATGAATGCTGATAAGAATAATACCTTAAGAAATTTTAAAATAGTATAAATTTTCATGTCTTCATTTTAGATAGCCTTGAAATATTAGAATGAAAACTGAATGTAAATTCAATATAATCTTTCACATTTTCTTAAAACATTTTTATACTAAAATAGAAACATAGCCTTATCTACAGCATTAACATGAGTAATAAAGAAACCTTTCCATCTTTTCTGCCAAGCACCAAATGCAAAAAATAATTTGTACAGAACCTTAAAATTCATAGCATCATAGGAAACAGATAATGGTGACTTAAGATTATTTCACAGACGAGAAGCTGAGATTGTGGTGATCAAAGCCCAAAGTTCCAGACTGTGGAGTTTGCGCTGGAGCTGAGATGAGTCCTCGAGATCATCTGGGTCCTTGAATATTAGACTTCGGAACATAAATTAAACTTAAGTTTCGATCATGTAATAAACACTGGAACAAACATTTCTTGATTAAAAAAGCAGAGAAACTTACAGAGAATATACTGAATGTCTTCAAAGTAGAAACGCAATTTAATATTTGACAGTTCTTGTTTTCCTGAGTCTTGTGAACAAAATAACAGTCTAATAGAAAAGAAATAAATTCATCGAGACATCAAGAAAAACACAGATAGCAGGTAAAGAAGAAATGTTGCTTCTTTCTCTATGTTCATTTCTCATATTCCTTATATCTTTCCTGTAAACTGATGCTTAATCTATATAAAAATATTCATTATAATGCCTAAGTCTTCAACCAAAATATTCTTTCATAAAAGTGTTTTTAAAAGAAGCTACAGGAGATAAAAGTGATGGGGGACGGGGATGCAACTAAAGACACGGGGGATGAGAAGAAGCAGAAGTATCTCTTGTAATAATCAGAAAATGGGTAACTGGTGCTTGCATGCTGTGTAGAAACCAAGAAACACAGCAGGAAAGCACAAGGTAAACCTAACTAGCCTCATGGCTTCAAAAGGAACCAAGTGCAGAGAATGGGAATGACTCCTTGGGCTTAAAGGAAGATGGTTCCCTCTGAATCCTGCCAGGCTGGCTGCTAAAAGTCAGTCTCCCTGGAATTCAGGAAATTAGCATTTCCCCAGATTGGACGACAAAGGCAGAAGGTCGAGGGTGTGGGAATCTTTATAATTCTGGGAGGCTGGCTGCTGTTGACCATGGTCAGATATGCCTTCATGAAAAACTGAATTGGTAAGGCTGGTTATCACAAGTTTGGTCCCTGAATCCGTTTAACTCTAGGTAAATCTACAGAATCAAGTTTCTGAACCTGCAAAACTAAAGCTCATATTCTGAAAAGTACTGACAACACCTAGTTATGTCACCTGGAAAGCCAGCTTGTGTCCATTACATATGTTTGCATTTCTCTAAAACTGAAACCCCAATTTTACATGACAATCCAGCATATATACTATCTGGTTTCTAAAGTCAGTGGCTTAAAAGTTGTATCAGAAGTACCAAAGGCCATAGGTTCATTCTTTGATTCAGAAATTCAGTATCAAGACATGTGTGCAAGTTAACAGTCAATCAATTAAAAGCAAGTCCATCCTTCCAGTTGTTCTTTTCAAAAATCTTGAAATTATCCTTAATATGTGTTGTTCTCTTGCACTCAACCCATCATCAAATCTCTCTGACTGTTGGACATATGTCCAGGTTCCAGCCACTTTTCATCACCTCCACTGCTACCACTCTGGTTTAAGCCACTAACATTTCTCCTTGCTTCCTTCTGCCTTTGTTCCCTTACAATTTAGTCTCAACAGCTCTGAGTGATCTTTTTAAAATACAAATAAGAACACTGCACCCCTCTCCTCAAAATCTTTTCATGGATCATTATCTCACAAGGATAAAAGTCAAAGTTCTTAAAGATGGCCAACAAGCCTGTCTACGACCTGGGCCTTCCTCCCTTCATTCCTCCTTTCCAGTAGCTCCTGTAATTGCTACTACTCTTTTCCTCACCTACTCTGCCCCAGCTATACAGGCTTGTAAGTGTTCCTGGAAAACACCATGCAGGCTCCCACATTAGGCCTCTGCACTTGCTGTTTCCACCACTGATACATTTTTGCCCAGGTGTCCACATGACTCACTTCCTTTCATCTGCCAGTCTCTGCTCGCATGTCATCTTCACATCCTGTTTTCCCACAGCCACATCATCATTCCTTCTTCATACTACCTCTCCCCTTTCCTATACTATATAATTCTATTAATTTTTAATAGTCTGTCCCCCACCTACCTCCACTCCACCCCTCCCCCCCACACACACACACACTCTGAGCAAGAATTTTATAACGACAGGGATTTTGGTATACTTTGGTTCGCAGAGGTATTACTAGACTTAGAACAGAACTTCATATATTGGAGCAAAAGGGGTGGGGGACACTCCAAGTCCAACCATGAAGTAATTACATGAATGAGGGCATAGGCATATAAAGGAATACCACACTCATCTGAGAAACATGGTAGTGAAGTGATTAAGGGCAAAGACACTGGAGCCAGACTGACTGGCCTCGAATACTGGCTCTGCTATTTACTATGTAACTGCAGGTGGATAACCTCACTTCTCTGTGCCTTTAGCGTCTGCCTCTGTAATAGAAGTTCCTACCTCATGAAGTTGTTGTGAGAGTTAAATGTGTTAATAAACGATATGCACTTTTAAATGTGCTGGCACACAGTAAAGACTTTATACATGTTCACTATTATTTAAGAGAATTATGAAAATCTACAAGTACTGACATGAAGACATGTTCACAATATATAAGGTTATGAGAAAACACCACGTTACAGAACAGATATAAACTATGTCCCATTTTTATAAAGGAGTCAAGAAGTACATAGACAGAATAAATTTTGAAAAGAAATATTCCAAATTATATATAACAACTGCCTCTGCTGGATAAAGAATTAAGAAAATAAAGAAGACACTAATAACACTGTTCTTAAAAGCTTAACACCAAAATAGGGCACAAGAAAAGAAATCACCAGCAGCTGTGGTAAATCATCATCCCAGCATTGGGACTTTCAATGATGATGTATATGTCATAC